TCCAGTCAAAAGTATGATTTGAATTTCCAAGCGACTCTGTGTGGACACTCTTTTTGTAGTAATAGGGGCTCTTTAACCAGTGTAGAGTAATAGACTTCCTTAGTGGAGCAAACCACATCAGAAAAAGACACTATCAAAAATGTGCACATGGAAAGCTATTGCTGAAAAACTTGTTCCACAATTGCCTTTTCAGTTAATTTCCTCTTGTATACAAGCCCTTTCTCAGAGCATTTTACCATATATTTCTGGAGAGAGAGCACTTGATCACTGAGCTTGCGCACAGTGCTTAGATCTGAAGACACCAGGCACTTGGAGTGCCCGGTGCTAGAAATCAGCCCTGATGAGCATTCATACACCTGGCTTGGCTAATAGAATTATCCTAATTGTTCTGATGTGCAAAATTGTTTTAATTAAATATGAGACTGCTGCTTTTGCTGGGTATTTCCATACCTCTCTTAATGATCTGGTTGAGAAGGCAGATGAATATAGAAGTTGTAGAAATGGAAATAAGAATTAAGAAACAAAATAGAAATCTTCGTTTAAAAACAAAAGGCTTGCTTATTGCTCAGGAAAGCATTGGGGTATTTACAGGAAAAAAACCCTCTAGAACAAAGGCTTGAGAATGTGATGTTGCATGCTTAGGAACTTCAATTAAGCTCTGAATATCATGATTCCCACATGTGGAAAATTGCAAGGAAATAGCTGTCATGCTATTGAGTTCTGTCTATTCTTTCCCAGTTGCACACATCTTTGAAAATTACTCTGAACAAATCTAATGGTGTCCCTGGATACTACAGACTATGAAAATAAGTTTAAAAGAGCCCCTGAAGAATAGTCTGTGGGCTTTTCACCATGTCAGATGGTTATGTCATTTGCTAAAGTGTAGGCTATGCTTCTGTCCTGTCACTGGTAACTTTAAATGCTTGTCTGCTAATGAAAACTATCCTGCTAATTCTTGCTAAGTCAAAATGTGACTAACGTTTTCACGCTTTCTTCCCTTTGCTCTTTCTGTTTAAATATAGTGATAGTTATGTGAGATTTAAAAAGGCAACCATCTTCTATTGTTCTCTGTAATTTTCAGAAATAGAAACAGAAAATGCCTATAAATGGTATTTTATATATATGCCACATACATAATGTGAATGTCTGTATGCGCGTAGGGAAAAACAAATTAATGCAGTGTAAGATGTGTTGTTATCTAAAAATTCAGATATCTCAGCAGCAAACTTTCTCCAGAAACAGAGAACCTTTTATTTAGTTTAAAGAAAGATCTCTGTTATGTGAGGTATAAAAAGTCGTCTTTGTTACCCAGGTGCTTTGGGTGAAGCCCTTGAGCAGAACCTGTATTAGCAAGAGGCAGCCAGTACCTTCACTACATGCATTACTGTGTGTCTGTGATACTATGTATCAATGCATATAGACATACATGAATGCATCTCTGTATGTATGTGGGTAACCAGACTTTTAAAGTAACCTCAGGTTAAGGTTTCTGTATCTGCTAGCTACACTTGTGCACTTTCAGCCTTTAGTAGGAAATGGAGCTTGCCAGATTTTTCCAGCTTTGTCTCTTTTTAAATACGCATTCGCACGTACATATATGTGGGATGGTATCCCCCGATTCTTGCCTTACCTTCACATCGTTGATGTTCATCCTTGTTCCCTCCTTCCCAACGAAGATGTCATCTATGTCAACCAGAATGTACCTATCCAAGGACAGCGTGAGCTTCTTCCCTGACAGGAAAGAGATGGCATCAATGAAGATCAGTTTGTGCAACCAGAAGGTCAGGTTGTTTCCAAAAAGGACTCTTTGAATCCCGTCATGAAGCCCCAAGTCTTGGATGACGGTTGCATACAGAGCAGCCTTTGGCAGTGCTGCGGGGGGTGGTCTGGAGGTCTGCAGTTCTGTTAAAAGCACAGGCTGATAGGTGGAATGGTTAAACTGGAAAATTGTCCAGTCTTCACCGGGCAGTGGACCCTTCTCAACCCTTGGCGCTTTGGTAATGCGCAGCAGGGGAGACTGAGAGTTTACCACACAGTCTTTGAGGGCTACATTATTGTAAAGATGTAATGGCAATCCTTTCAGTTTTGTACTTGGGGAGCTGTTCTCGTTGGCTTTATGAAAACCAATTATGCTAACACTGTATTCCACACAGTATTTTTCCAGAAGCTCTCTATTCCACGAGTCCATGGATACATACTTTAAAATATTCTCATATATAACAATCGTGTATTTTCCTCTTCCATTGTCTGTGAGAGGGGGAATATCCCCCTTAGCTGGCGTGATGACCATGTGGTACGGAAATCTGCTGGACTCAAGGATGGCTATGATGTCTTGCCCCAGCTGGGAGTACTGGCTTTCCACGAACAGGAGGACAGTGGGATCAGTTTTAGATGGATCGATTGGCTTAGCTGTTTTCAGCTCCACAGACCTGTATGGTAGAAGCTTGAGGTCTTCGCACTCCGCTTCTCCGGTGGTTTCCACGAGGGCCATTTCCTGCTTGTAGCCAGTGTAGAGGTAATAAGCGGAAATGATGATACTTGCCAAGCAGAAGGTCGCCAGGAGAATGACCAGCGTTCTGAAACTTCTGCGGAGCTTCACGATTAGATTCATCTTTCGCAGGACTTCCAACTTCTGTTGGACTTGCTGCTTTTTGGTTTCTCTCTTCCTAAAGTGCCATAGGAACAAGGAGATGCAGAGGTGCTGATTCCCCTCCCAAGACATTCATGTGACCATTGCAGTGCATTTATGAAGCTGTCGGGGAGGTTATAAAGCTGTCGGAGCAGGAAGTCAAAGGATCCGGAAAGCTAAATTGAAAGAGGTTTTCTCAGAATGCGGCAGCTGCCAATAATCAATGAAGAGGACTCTTAACATTATCTGCAACAAGAAGTAGAAGAAGAGTAAATAAAATAAAATCCATACAGTAATTAAAACCCATGTTAATAAAGACAGTGATTGATACTGGTAATCTGAGTTAAGAGGGAATTTTATGAACGGTTCAAGGAGCACTCAGTGTCACTTGCTTTCTTGATGTATTAAGATAAGCTGCATTAAACAGCTCTCCCATATTCTTAGGGTATAAAAATAAAGTCTAAACATAAATTTTGAGGACATGTATCGCTTCATTTATGGGCATTTCTTATCTAAAATGGTTCATTGCTATTGCAAATGGGGATGACTGAAGACTGTAGGACAAAATTAGGACAAAGTAAATGTTTATTAAATATTGGGCCATGTTCCATGTCAAACTTGAACTACATAAATATTTTGAAAGGGATAACAAATTCTGTGCTGGACTGTGAAACTTAATGAAACTAAAGTGAAAGACACGAGAGGACTTGGAGGAAAGATTTGTAGGACTTTTCTCTCCAGTTTCCATTCTGTACTGGAGTGATCAGTACAGTCTGTTTAAGGCCTGTCTGGAATGATCAAGATTGTGCATGGAATTTGCTAGTGAATGAGTAGGCTACGAAAACTGCAGGGTGCAGCTGTGCATGCCTCTGCCTCCATCGGGGATGGCAGGGAGGTGGTACGTAGCATGAAAGGGAGTTATCTGGCGAGTGCTGGGTGGGCACGTAGGTGTGTGCCCTGGGCCACGAGACGTCCAGCTAAAGGACCGGGGCTTCCATCTGTCCCTGCTGTGCTGTATGGCTGAAGTATGAGGTGCCTAAAACCTGACTTCGTGGCCAGCTCTGAAGCCCTTGTGCAATTCCTGGTAGTTCTGCCTAAATTCACAAAAAATTACCATTGGTAACAATAAACCATATCACTCGGAGGCAATTAAAGCTAAATAAATAGCCCAGGCTGCTCTATGGATTTAAATAGGAATTAACATCTTTCTGAATTATTTATATTGTTTACTTATTAGAACAATGTGAGACTGTAAACAATGGATGATTTTCTGAACTGCAAGGAAGAAACGCTCTTTCCAGGCAGATACTTGTCAGCTGATGTGGCCTCCTCCATTAACTCAGATTACACGTTTGACTTGCATTCTGAAAAGTATTCACTCATTTTAAGCTTTACACCTAAAACTGGAAAATGCTTGTAAGAAAGGTATTGAAGAAATTTGTCTAGCAGTTTATGACTCTGGTATACAGTTCTAAGGAACCGCTTGATTGTGTCAGTTCAGGATCTTAAAAAAGCAAGTGAAAAGTTTTAATTTGGCTTTAAATGCCTTGTATACCACTCTCCTAGTATTAGAGTACTGCTTTTTGGGGGCTTATCGAGCAATGAACAGAATGCTGAAGTAATTGTGAATTAATAGGTCTACTTGCTCATGAGAGGCTTGTTGCTGCTCTCGCAGCTTAGAGAGAGGGAGTTGTGGCTGAGGCTGTTTGTGACTTTGCCAGGGTCAGGTTTTTGTCTGTTTTGCCTTTCTCAGTTGGAAGCTTGCTAGGAGATTCGTAGCCCTGTACTGTGGGCTACTCCATCAGTGACCCTGCTGTGTGTCACACAGCAATTTGCCAAAAGGTGAGCAAGGTGGGTAGTTTATCCATGGACAGAAGTGAGAAAAATGTTCTGTATTTAGTAATGTCTTATGTATGAGAGAAGAAATAAAAAAAAAAAAAAAATCACAGCTATCACTAGGAAATTAAAATAATCCTGATAATTGTAAGAGTATTTGCCCTCCTTTGGTGCTTCCCTTGTTCTGCAGTTCTGTCTGCTTGCCAGGATCTTGCTTCTTATTAACCCTCCAATTAGGATTTTATCAAAAGATAAAACTGGATCAAGTGAAGCATCATCTGTGAGGCCGTGTTCCAGTTTTGGTGACATTGATGAGTCACTCAGCCTGACTCTGAGGGTTTGTCGGCTCAGGAGAATTGCTCTCCATGGGAAGGGCAGCCTCGCTGGGTGGGTGATCTGCCCACAAAACAGCTAATTGCAACAAGCCTTAGTTTTGTTAGCATGAGATAGGTAGGTATCTTGGAAACAATAATTAAAAACCCCTCTTAGACTCTGCATTCTCTGCTTGCTTTCAGCACTAGAGGGCAATATTTTCTTGCTTTTTAGCAGACAGCACCTGCTCTCACCTCTACTCACTGAGCAGACAGCCCTGCCTGCAGGCAGGCTCTCTCCAGAAGGGTCTCGGAAATCCTCAGGGCCAGGTAAAACACCTTAATTAAGACTCTTATGTTTGAAAATAATAAAACCCAGTATTTCTGCTCTGAGAAATCTGCCACTAAATCACAGCGAATGCTTACCAAATGTCTCAGCCTACACCTGTAGCACAAGGGAATAGCTTGCAAGGAGACCTAAAATTGCACATTTTTTCCTTACTGTTCTGTCCTGCTGGATGTCCCAGGTACTGGTATTGCAAGCTGTCAAAACAACACACTTCACAAGCCAGATCTTTGCTGCTACTATTGCTCGTATTACTAGAATTCATATTCTAGTAATATGAAGCCCCTGACTTTATACTAGCCAAAACAAAAACGTGGTCTCCATCCCAAATTATTTGATCCAAATAACACTGGTAAAATATCTTCCAGCTAAAATGTTAGTAATTGGATCTAATGTAAACTAGTACATCTGTTGTATGCAGTTGTTATAACAAGTGCAAGTATTCACAGTTATCTGGATATCTAAATATTAGAATTGATAAGGAATTTAAACTTGCATATGGAAACCTGGCATTGGAGCAGATCATCTTTTGGTTTGTGCATTGTGTTTGAACTGCTCTGTTGAACTGATTATACTGTTCAGTAAAAAAAAAAGTGTGAAGTAATTAAAGTTTATGAAAATAAATCAGCTATATTAGCCATTAGTGGGACATTTTCCAAGGCATAATTGGAAGTTAAGTGCCGTTTGTGCCTTTGAAACTCTCCTCCTTAAAGTTCAACAGCTTTATATTCACTCAGAAATTCAAATATCTTTGGAGTATTTCTGTGCTATATTAAAAACATGAAAATAGGCCATACTTCATAATTAGCATTACTAATGTAGTTTCATTTTAGAAACAGGTGTTTGAGGTCCCATGTTCTTATGGTCACTGGTCAGCATTCATTGACTCTTCAGGGGTAAAGCCCAAAGCTGGGTACATTTGATCAAGGAATCAAGGTTACATTCATCCAGAGTTGGTCCTTCAGTAGGTCTTCAATCCTGCCCTCAGCTGACTTCCTAGACGTGGGGTCTTTCCCCAGAAAGAGCAGAACTCTGCGATATAACTCTGTTGTGATGCCATAGGTGTCTGCAGGAACCGTAATTTTTCTTTAATTCAGGCAGCCAAAGAAAAACAGAGGTTTAAAAATTGCTGCCTCCTTGCTAAATAATACTTCCTGCTTCCCCATAAAAATGCATTTGATTGATGATTAAAGCATACTGATTTTGAAGATGATTGATTGGGAGATTAAGACTCAACTATTTAAAACCAATAGCACAATAGTGAAGAGAAACAGCCTCTTATTAATACCATGTGTTAACATTGCATCAGGAATTAAAGCCGATTCTCTCATGGTCCAGTTCCTATGTGCAGACCTTCTCACAGGGCTTAGTGATTTAACAAGCCTCTTGACCAAATTAGGTGCAACTAATCAGTGGGGGGGAATACAGACATTGTAGAAGCAGAAGGCAGTTACATGTTGCGAAGGTGGCTGTTAATTGCTAATGAGGGATAGCTGAAATAATGAAATTATTGCCTGGGTAAATAGGGAGAACTCCATTAAGAGTGAGAGTTGCTGCCTTCCATCATCCGTCAGGAGAAATAGGTGATGTGTGATGTGTGAGCAGTTTGGCCCTGGCAGGAGGCCAGCGGCGAGTACTTGGTGTGCAGGCTGCCAGCACTGCCTTGCAGGGCAGTTGTAAGCTCTTCTCCCGTCCTTACCTCTCCTTGTAGGTAGGCTAAGGATCTCTGATCTAGTCCAGCATCTGGAAAGCGGAGATCTTGATGTTAAGCACACAGTTGTGTTTATCCACCCTGTGGATTGAGCTAATAGACTTCACATCTGCAGCAGGTTAAGGGCCTGTTGCCGATTACAGCGCTGAGTAGAGGAGCAGGATGCTTGTTGATCCTCTGCAATATGGTCATGTCTGGTTGCCTGTCTGTAGCAGAGTGGAACGCTCTACGGGTAATTCATCTGGAGGCAGGCCAGAAGTTTCCTTTCATCTGACTCCAGCATAAATCAGAAGTTGGAATGTCTTTATTTTCTATATATAAAACTTCCTTTTAGGCTAAAAAATTAATGTAAATGCTTTCCTCTTTTCCTTCCTTTCTAAGCTTGTATGACTCCTGCCATTTATTAGCAGTCCAATGATCCATGATGCCTACTTGCTACTCCTTATGTATGACTGCTCATTCGATAACAGAAAAAAGCAAACTGATTTGAGTGAAAAATGACTCCTGTTGACCATTAGCAAAAGTTCAGGGTTTCTATTCACTGCAAAGGAAAAAACACTTTTTTTCTCAGAAAAGTTTCCAAGAGATTTTTTTTTTTAACTCAGCTCATGAAACTTGGGTGCTTCTTGAAAGTAATTTTTTTTTTCATTTTAAGCCTAATGACGTTGCAACATGTTTCATGTTTATGTGGTTTTGCTCATGAGGGGTGTTAATGCCAGCTGCTCACAGCCTACCACAAGGTTTTAGAAAACTTTTACCTAGGATAAGGACAGCTTCT